GGCAGATTATGTCTTGCCCACCAAATCTTTTAATTTACTTTTTTTGTATATTTTTTTATTCCATTTTCACTTTGATTGCTGTTACTAATGCTGTTTTAATAAGCATTTATTTTCATACTTTTTATATTAAGCACTTTGCTTAGTTCCTGATGATCTTGTTCCTGTTTAATATGTAGAGATACATATGTACACAACACACAGAGACACACACACACACAGAGACACACACACACACATTCTGACGCAGGCTCCCTGATGGGGCCCACCAGTTTTTTATGCGTTGTGGGATCCACCCTTTCCAGTGGTCCTACACTGCTGTAAAAAACAACATTAGATCTAAAAAAAAATCTCAATCATTAATATCACTTCAATTTGACAAATTTCAAAAGTTTTGTCAAAAAAGGTATTTGGCCCTTTGTGGGGGCCGTTTCTAGGATTGCTGACTTGTGGGGTCCGCCCACATACACACATACATACCAAGTTTTTATATGTTAATGGGGCCCAAGGTCACTATCTGCAGCTGCTGACACCAGCCTTTATTATTACTCCCAGTTTCCTTATTTTGGACTAAAATAGTTATTTTTGTAATGAGTAATTATGTATACATGTGAAACTTTCCATCTGCCTTTACAGATTACAAGACATACGGCTTCAAAGACAGTTTTATGACAAAACTGAAATGACCAATTTTATTGTAATGACAGTTTATGCCACACAGTTGTCAGTCAATAAACTTTTTATGAAATGATTAAAACAAATTATTAATTTAATGTCTAGAGGTCTGTACAATCTGCACTCAATGTTTGAACAACATCAGCCTGAACTTTTATGTAAACCCAACAGTTTATATGTTTCATTGGACTGCATCCATAATATCATGTTAACACTAGGTTCTCTTTCCAATGAAGCCTCAAATTTTGAAATCATGATACAGAGATATTTAAAGAAATGAAAAATCCTTTGAAATATTTAACATATGCCCCACACACTTTCAGTGTTCAGGCCCTAAAATAAATAAAAAAATGTATTAAAATAAATAAGAAAACCTCAATATCCATCCATCCTCTGGTCAACATCCATCCATCCTCTGGTCAACATCCATCCATCCATCGGTCAACATCCATCCATCCATCCGGTCAACATCCATCCATCCATCTGGTCAATCCATCCATCCATCCATCCATCCATCCTCTGGTCAACATCCATCCATCCATCCATCCATCCTCTGGTCAACATCCATCCATCCATCCATCCATCCTCTGGTCAACATCCATCCATCCATCCATCCATCCTCTGGTCAACATCCATCCATCCATCCATCCATCCATCATCCATCCATCCATCCATCCATCCATCATCTGGTCAACATCCATCCATCCATCATCTGGTCAACATCCATCCATCCATCCATCCATCATCTGGTCAACATCCATCCATCCATCCATCATCTGGTCAACATCCATCCATCCATCCATCCATCATCTGGTCAACATCCATCCAACATCTATTCAAGATCCATCCATCCATCCGGTCAACATCCATCCATCCATCATCTACCCTACATCCATCAAACATCAATCATCTATCCTACATCCATTCATCTCTCGAACATCCATCCTACATCCATCAAATAAAAAATAAAATTAAATAAGATCTGTGAAATGTGTATATTTGTTGGCCACTGGACAGCCATAAAACCTGAGCAAACCCCTACAACAACAACAACAACAACAACAACAACAAGGTTACAACAGAACACAACCAAAGACAAAACATTTTAAGATCCTACCTCTAATGTTTTGGTTTTACCTCAGTTCCATTAGGTGCTTTCACACTAGACTTTTCTTCTCAGGGCTGTAATGCGATTTTTAACATAATATTTAACTGCTTTCCAGTCTCTGTTTCTGAGAGCTTGAGGTTCTGCAGTAATACAGCGCTGACACTCTTCTTTACCAGGAACTTGATTCCTTACAATAAATCTCCTCAAATGTGTGTCCACTGCAGCACACTCGTCTGGGGTCCAGCTTCTTTTGATGGCTGTTTGTTTTCCTATGTAGGCAAAAACACAAAACATTGTAGGTTTTCTTTTATAAAGAAATTTTAATCTTACTTAACCCTGTAAGACCCACTGTTTCAGAATTACAACAATTGTGGTTATTTCCCAAAACCCCTTTTGTCTTTTTTGTTTATACAACTACATCAATATGATCTGTGGGTCCTACATTTTATTCCCACCATGTAATTGGATCCAGGATTTGTATACAAAGCCCACCCCCCTTAAGTCAAGAAGTGACACATCCTACAACTTTCTGATCAAGCAACATCCCTTTGATTTACTGGACTGGATTCATCTTGAAGTAAGTAAAATGCTTGGAATATGTTTTTCTGTGTTTATTACAGTGTCTAGAACAAGGACATGTACAGTAAATGTTGAAAATATGCCCTACATTTTGTTTAGAGCTTGTTTTATAAATGTTGCGATATTACAATGTTGGATGAGAGTGGCAGTCATAATTGCCCTGTATTTAAGAGGAACATCTAGCCTGGTTAAAACCAGACCATTCTCAGTTGTAACTGAGTTATGGTCTGGCAAAGCGTCATAGACAAATCATTTCCAGAGGGGCGTCTCCAACGGACGTCGCGGGTAGGCCTAAAACCAATCAGAGCGATGAAGGAGATGACGTATGCAGAGCGGCGGCCGGCAGAGAAACATCTCCGAGTGTTGTTCTTTGCTCGGTTTTTAACAAAAAGGAAACGTTCAAACCGCTTAAAACAGACGGGATAGCTGATCCGAACGAGTTATGTTCGACGGCGGCATCCATCTTTGTAATGTAGGCTACAAAATCTGCTTCAAAATCCCAGCGCTGTCGTCATCGTGTAAAGCCCGCCCCAACGTTTCTGATTGGTGCCGCGATTTCGGTGGATTGGAAATGGACTTGAATGCGCTCTTTGCCAGACTAACTTTCAGAGCAAATCTAAATTTGCCAGAAGTTGTCTGGGTTTTCCCAGGCTAAGGAACATCTTGAGGGGAACTTAAATGAAAATGTAAACAACAAATTATACAGGATTTAAACATTATACCCTTTAGCTTTATATCGGATTACATATTCTATACTGTATTAGAGACTAAAGTTGAAAGATATATTGCCATATCTAAACATTATAATTTGCTATCACATTCTGCAGGACTTTCTAACAAAGAAATTCTGTTTGTGCAAATCTGCCTTTTCTTAGTCTACTGATAAACAAAATGTTCTTATCAATTTATAGTCAAAGAGCTTATTATCATTAGGCCTATAACCTTTATTTAACCAGGTCTGTCCCATTGAGATCCAAGATCTCTTTTGCAAGAGACACCTGGCCACTCCTCCAAGTTGTGCGGGATGCTCCTGGTGCTTTGTTCTGACACAGGTGTAAATGTTCATCACTGTTAGTTTTTGTTGTAAACTGGACGCTGAATGCATTCCAGTAAGGATTACAATCACAGTCTACTATAGGTGAGCCATTAGGGTATAGCGTGACCGGTGAGATGTGTGAATAGGCTGCTTCAGTCCAAAGTGTGAACATGTCATAATGAGGCATGTGTGCTATTTGTATATACAATGGAAATTTGTTTCAATTTTATCTTTTCCATTTCAGAATGCCACCAGCAAGGAGAAATCCTCGGTACAATGTGCACAATGTAATTGCCATCATCCAAAACGGAGAAAGTGATGTGGACATAGATTTTGACGACACTGATGCGAGTGATGAAGAATCAGATAATGATGTCTCTGTGGACAAAGAAAACCAAGAACCTACCAATTGTCCAGCTAATGTGAATATTGAACCCGGGCAATCAAAGAAATACATCATGCCACATGACAGACATCACTGATTTTTCTGGTCAAGCTCTCACAGTTGATGTCACCTCCCTCCACACACCACTGCAATACTTCCAAAAGTTTTTGTCAGAAGATTTGGTTCAAGCTCTGGCAACAAATACGAATGAGTATAGCATTCAAAATGATGAAAGATCAGTCAACACTAATACAAAAGAAATACAGGCAGCATTGGGCATGTACCTGAGGATGGAACATTACATTTTGTAAACAATTTAACCGTGCCAGAGACTGAAAAGAGGGACAAACTCTGGAAACTCAGACCACAGCTTGATTCACTCAGAGAAAACTGCCTGCAGGTGGTACCAGAAGAGCACATTCCATGGACAAGATGATGATACCCTTCAACGGGAAGTTCAGCAGCATCAAGAAGTATATGCAAGGTAATCTATGCTCATGGGGCTTTAAAGTATGGGTGAAAGCTGGAATCTCTAGCATGATGCTTGACTTTGATGTTTACCAAGGGAGCAACAATGATGTACGAGTCAAATCTAAACTTGGATTGTCAGTGATGTTGTAATGAAGCTTGCCTCCACATTTCCAAAGGGTCAACACAAGAAGATCTAGGCAGACAACTACTTCACCTCCGTTCCACTGGTAGTGAAGCTCCTTGAGCAAGGAATCCATTATGTGGGAACAGCCAGGCAAGTGCATCTCCCCAACTGTAATCTTTACATGTGAAGAGCTTGAAGAAGAAGGGCAGAGGAAGCTTTGACCACAGAGTGGAGGGGAAACAACATCTGTGCTGTCAAATGGTACGACAACAGGGCGGTGACACTTCGCTGGACCAGAACCTGTTCAGGAGATTCAACACTGGGACAAAGCCGCCAAAACCTACATTGACGTTAGAAAGGCTTCCATTGTGGGCATCTACAATAAATACATGGGAGGTGTGGATTTGTTGGACTCATTTACAGCAAAACACAAGTATGCACTGAAATCCTGGTGGTGGTACATGTACATCTTCTGGCACACAATCACCCTTGCTGTGGTCAACGCCTGGCTCCTCTACAAGCAGCACAGCCTATGCTCTCAGGATGCCAAAGGAGATACTGAATATGAGAAAGTTCCAAGCACAGCTGGCTTCCTCTCTCATTACGGTAATGATCTATTTGTGCTATTTACCTTGTTTGTGATAAATCAGACTGGAATTTGAGATGTACATAAATTGATACATTTATATTCTAATCTGGCGGACACAACACTGAAAACGCCAAAGAGAGGACGGCCATCTTCAATCAACAAGAGCCCAGAGACAGGAGCCCTCTGAATAGTGGAAAGAGACCACACATGGATGATGGAAGTCCAAAGGCTCCCTCTTCTAAAAAGTCACGCAAACCACCGCCCATGGATGCGCGCATGGACCAAACTGGACGTTTCCCCCTGAAGACAAAGAGAGGACACTGCAGACATTGCAGTAAAGGGTACACCAATACCCAATGCAGTAAGTGTGATGTCCGCCTCTGTTTTTCAGAGGACAGGAACTGTTTCTGGGATTACCACTATAAGTAAAGGTGGACTTCACACTGAGCACATAGATTTCAGTGGAGAGCGAAAGAACACTGCAGACATTGCACTGTTAACAATGTAAATAAATAAAGATCTTATTTGTTGGAATAAACAACTCTTCATAATAACATGACTGAGATTATTATTCATTTTATACACTGGTTTGGTAAAAACAAAAACACTGCAAATTAATCCTTAATTATGCAGCTTGATGGGCACCTCTTCGGACCTGACGTGCTGCCCAGCTACGCAAACGCAGCTACGTGGATGTACTCTCTTGTAATTGGCCAGAGTGATCACAAGTCTCCGGATGTTTTGGTCTCGTTGCTGAAAGAGTGCATGAAGCGGTGGAAAAACCCCTGTGCTGCCAGCTTCTCCAAGCCCCGTGCTCCCTCTTTTGCCAAAACCACCATGAGAACGACCGACAACTGGCTGAAGGAAGAGCTGCAACGGGTGAACGAAAGGCAGAAAGCAACGGAGGAGTGCCTGCTCAGATGCATTCCGTTTAGTATTGCTTTTTAACTTTATTTATAGTTAACGGTTTTGATTGCATTCTTTTTTCTTTGTGTGTTGCTGACGGCATTACATTATAATTCTGGAAAAGAAACTGCAACAGGATGCTTTTACCCTACACTCGAGTATAAACACACACTCTCTCACTTAAAGCAATTTTATTCTTTTTGCATTTCACAAAATAATAATAATAATACTAAAAACAATAATAATGATAATATTTTCTATTTATAAGGCACTTTTAAAAGGTCATTTAATAAAGTCAGCTGCATGTGGAGGCTTAATGAGACTTGGATGAAGGAACACTAACAGTTAGGAGGTATTTAAGGTGATTATAGGTTGTTCGAGTTTTTCAACTGGTCACTGTACACCTCCGTTGTTGGAGGAAATGCAAGCATTTTTCCTGAGTAAGTCCATAAAGTCGTAAAGATTTTTTTTTTTTTTTTAAATACAACAGACTTCTTATTGATATAAAGGTGATAATGCCAGTCTTTCCCCAACCCTACAACCTGCGACAATGCAGGCTCACAAGGTCTGTTCCTGCAACAGCTTCTTTCAAGTCACTGTCAGGCTTGTGGCACCGGACAGTAAGGAGGGACAGACATATTTCAAGTGTTGAGTCAAGGAAGCAAAGTAAAAGCCCTAAAAAATAAATGAGCAGCTCTGGCCCAAAAGAGAGTGCAAGCCCCAAAGCTTACCTCTCTTTTTTGCAGACACACTCCGGTTTTGGACTTGTGATGTGGAGGGACATTCTTGCAGGGATGACATGCTGACCTCATCTTCTGACCCCTCTTCTCTTGGCATACTGACATCTGGACAAAGAAATAACTTTATTGTAGTATACACTACATGAAATATGTAATAGCCGTCAGTGCAGTGGTTGTGTTATTTTATAAAATAATTTAGTATATTCAATTCAATTTTCTATTCAGTTTATTTATATAGCGCTGATTCACAACAGATGTCGTCTCAAGGCACTTAATAAGAAGTCAGTATATGGGATTTGTGTCTCTTAAAGAGAGACAGTTTATTTCATCCCGTCTCCTATAGTCCTAAATTCTTTTCAAGTGACTAGTGACGTGAAAATATTAGTTGTCATGTTAGCCCAGGGATGGGCAACTCCAGTCCTCAAGGGCCACTATTCTGCAGGTCTGAAATGTTTCCCTGCTTCAACACACCTGATTCAAATTAAATAGATCAAACAGCTTGTTGCCAAGCTCTGCACAATGAATCAGGTGTGTTGCAGCAGGGAAACATCTAAAACCTAAAGGATAGTGGCCCTCAAGCAGTATATTTCCTCATATAGTGTATGGACGACAGACCGTCCCACGCAGTCCACTAGTGCTGAAGTAGCTGTGCGCCGAAAAGATTGTATGTCGGACAATATAAGATGAACTGATTTCATCAGACAGAAAGCGACTGTTGTTATATTACAAGTAGAATTAACGACAAGGCTGTATGAGTTTATTAGATGTCATCTAACCCGATGGCATATGCGTTTGAGCCAGTGATGAGGAGGAGGGTTGAGAGACCCGTTTTTGGTTGAGGGAGCTGCAGCGGCTCCGGACGGAGATGACAGTGAGGAGAGGGTCGGCAACCCTTTGCAGTGCAAGTGCGGTCACTGCGATCAACCGTGGAGTCTGTTTGCTGCCATGAAGCAGACTTGGATAATGTGCTCAGGGAATTGTCCTGCATCACCTAATCGCGCACATTCCAGATGTTCTGTAGTGACAGGGACGTGTTGGAGTAGCTGTGCTATCCCTGTATGAAGTCTGTGCCGAGAGATTAGAGCAACCTATAAGCAATAGGTGGGTTCCCGCTAACCTCAAAGTTAATGCTACTTGTAATTTCAGGCAGTACTGACGCAGTGTTAAGTTTTAAAACTGGGGTTGTGTTTGACTGATTGTGCAGCCTCTGCATCATACAGGTCTCCTGACAGAGTTGCAGGAGAAAGAGGTGGGTGGGACAAAGAAGGGAGGTGGAGTTGTTGATGTTGAAATTTTTGCCACGTGCTGTGTGAAATGCACGAAAGGTAAGAATTGCGTTCAAGCTCACCGGTTGCAGACACTCCCCGGTTTTGACTTTGTGATGTGGAGGTACATTCTTGCGTGGATGACATGCTGACCTCATCGTCTGACCCATCATCTCTTAGCATACTGACATCTGGAGAGGGAAATAACTTAATACAATACACAAAATATCTAAAACGGATCATTTAAAAATCAATTTAGGAACATCGTATACACATACCTTCAATGTCCTCTGCTAAAGGTCCCTCCATGTCAATGGTCTCTAAAATGGTAATTGATAAAAAATTGAGTTTGGAAAGCTGAAACTATGGGCAATCTGCAAGAGTATACAACAGTAGCATTATCTCTCATCCCGTCACCATTACTGCCCTGTTTTACATGGTAAATAGTTGTTTTCGGAATGCGGAAGACTAAATGTCATATATTGTGCCTTCAAGAATATAAAGTTAATTACCATTCACATCGACTTGTATTTCATCGAGGCTCTTTCCTTTGTAATCTCCTAGGCGTCCTTGTTCCATTGCCAGGAGGACTTTACTTACTTTGGCTAATTGGAGGGTGCTTTCTGGGAGCCTGTAGTGTTTCCTGTGAACAGCGATATTATGACCAAGGAAGTCTGCCAACTGGTCGAGCTCAGTGGTTTTGAGGTTCAGAACAGTAGACAGGGTAGCAATATGTTTCCTCAGTTGAATTGATGTTAGCGCTTGAGGATTTTTTATGTCAGCACATTCACTGACAAATTGCCTAATGCAGTCACAAGCCCTGAGGTAATGGGCAGATTGTGGCAATGCAAACAGATATTCATTGTCCTTTAGCACCCCACATTCTTCTCTGCTCTCAGTAAGAGCATCAAGTGATTCTCTCATTAATGGGGTTAGAAGAACAGGAACCTTCCTTCCTCTTTTTCCAACAATTGCTATTCGCACAAAATGCCTGCAGAGCTTCTGCTCAAGCGCTGTGAGGGCCAAATTTACATCTCCCTGTTCCTCTGATGTGTCCTTCGATAAGTATGCAGACAGGCGCATTCGGGACACTTCACCTGCTCTCCGCCGATTAAAAAGCATAACTTGAGTCAGTGTTACTTTTGCAAGTTCCTTCCAATTTGTGGATGAATGATGTTCTTTTAAATCTTTGAGATGTTGCTGCTGTTTTTCTTCTAGATAGCAATGTAGCCTTTGGATATCTTGTGTAAGAGGTAAAAGTTGCGGTGCATTCCATTTGGCCCGGTTAAGCTGGGTTAATGCCTGGCCTGCAATATCAAACCTCCAACTCTCTAAATACAACTGTGCGAACTCCTCAGCATCTTTTATGGTTTCTTTATCTTTCTTTTTCAGTCCTTCGGACTTGATAAACATAGCCAACGAATGCAGGCTGTGTCCTACCTTGCGTGCAAGAGAGGGACATTGGTATATGCCACTTTCCTCACTGAATCCAGATAGGTTCTTTGCAGCTCTGACAACCTGGGAGTACTGTTCAGGTTTGATGAGTTCTTGAATGGTCTTCACATGTGTGATTTTTTTAGCTTCCAATAAAAGCCTGCCAAGTTCTCTCAGTTTTTGGCGTATATACTGGTGTTGACTCACTATCTTCTCATTCTTTTTGAACAACCTGAACCCATAATTGAGGATGCAGTTGTCTCCTTTAATTGCAACTGCAATCTTGTCCTGACTCATTACACTCAAGAACTTCCAATACGCGTCTGTATATTCCGATGGAGAAGGTTCAGCGAAAGCACACAATGCCTGAACTCTATTTTTACCTGGTTTAGTACTTTCGGGTTTGAAGCTGCAGACCTTGAAATGCCGCCACATTGCTCTTCTTGAGAACAACCCATAGCAGTGAATGCAATGTGCAAATTTATGTCCCTCTGATTTTTTTCCCGGTTGTTTACATGGGATTAGTTTTCCTTTTTGTGTTTCCAAAACATGACTGTTGTGCTCAAAGTTTCCCTTATTTCGTATGTAGTCCAATTGTAGTTTTCTTTCCTTTGAGTTTTTTGGAAAACTGAATGCTTTCGCAACATCCGATTCATCTTGGTGTTTACGCCACAAGTGTCTTGACATTTTCTGGACAAACTTCCTGCAATAAAAACAGAAATGTTTCTTGTTATAGCTTCTGGATCCATCATCTTTCTTTAAAGTTGGACTGACAATGATATACTGCTCTTCTTCCAGGGGCACTGAAACATTGTTTTCAGAATATGTTGCGATTTCCTTTTCATTCCCATCAACTCTGCTATTTGGAAATCTTCGTGCGGGATCATGACATCTTTCCAAAAGTCTTCTCTGGCTAAAGTCAAATTGGCTATGACTAGAGGATTCACTTCTACTCTCCCTGGGCTTAGACTTGCTCTGTCTGGAGGACTCGCTTCCACTTCCACTCTCCCTGGGCTTAGACTTGCTCTGTCTGGAGGACTCGCTTCCACTTCCACTCTCCCTGGGCTTAGACTTGCTCTGACCGGAGGACTCGCTTCCACTCTCTCTGGAGGATCTACTTCCACTCTCCCTGGGCTTAGACTTGCTCTGACCGGAGGACTCGCTTCCACTCTCTCTGGAGGATCTACTTCCACTCTCCCTGGGCTTAGACTTGCTCTGACCGGAGGACTCGCTTCCACTTCCACTCTCCCTGGGCTTAGACTTGCTCTGTCTGGAGGACTTGCTTCCACTTCCACTCTCCCTGGGCTTAGACTTGCTCTGTCTGGAGGACTTGCTTCCACTTCCACTCTCCCTGGGCTTAGACTTGCTCTGTCTGGAGGACTCGCTTCCACTCTCTCTGGAGGATCTACTTCCACTCTCTCTGGGCTTAAACTTGCTCTGACTGGATGATGCACCTTTGTTCTTTTTTTCCTTTTCCAGGGTTAATTCCATACTGCTATCACTTTCTGTGCTTTCATCCATGGGATTTGGAATATACTCATCTTCGCTACCTGAGATTGAGTCATCCGATTCCATGAGATTTATCTGAATCTTTAAAAACAAACACACATCTGTTAATAACTATTTTTGCAACATTAAATATAAAAAACCTGAGGATACTGATTGAACAGGCTCAGGATACTAAATGAAGAAAAATCTGTATGGACCATTTTCAGTACAAGTAAATTTACAAATTAGAAGAATCCCCATCAGACTCACTAGCAAGAGCAACAGACATTTTCACAATCGTAACCCCCCCCCCCCAAAAAAAAAGACTTACGGGACGGCAAGACCTTCTTCTCAGTTTCTGTGAATCCCTTTCAGACTTAAAAGGAGTCTCCTCTGCGCTGTCACTACTTGAATCATAGAGACTGTGGGTAAAATCTTGTACTCTATCCATCTGCAAAAAGGGAGACATGGAGATATTTTGCTGTATGATTGCTGTATTTTTTTATTGATAGGGAGACCATTCAGAGGTTGTCAGGTGAGCTAGACACCTATGAAAATTATTGACCAATATTACCCCTCCATCCACCTGCTGAGGCCCATGTCCAAACTGCCTTCCAGGTGGAGTAAACGTTGACAAAATTATTAAAAAAAGAGTAACGTTTCAGTTTTCATGCATTTGATTGTTAAATTTAATGACTTCACAGCAAATGATTCATCATAATGATATAGTGTCATTCCTGTAGACATGGAACTACTCAAGAGAGAGGGAGAGATTAGTCAATAATTTAATCAGTCAGAAAAGAGAGAGAGTTGAGCTTCTCTAATAAATGATTACTGATTGATTGTTGGTGATCTCTATTTAATTGATAATTAATGCACCAGGCGAGGACGAGGACTCGACCGGATTTTGGCAACAGAGACCGGCCCTACCGGGGTTTGTCCCGGTATGCTGGCTGACCAGTAGCCTACATCACTGGGCACGTTGTATCTTTTTTTTTTTTTTTTTTTAAAGCACACACCTGCAGGTGTTTATGCCAATCCAATAGATTCAATTTCAAATGAGTCCATTTAAATTCAGATTTTAAAAGCAATTGTTCAAAACAATCGATTCAGGTTCAAAGTAAATGATTCCCATTCAAATATAAAATTCAAATTCGCTTACTAGTGGCAAAAAATTTATCACATAAACAAGTTAATTATATTGTTAAAATGTGTTTTGGGGCTTACCAGAATGCTTTTTGTGCGTCTCAGTGGTGGAACAAGTTCATCATCCGATTGATTGTTGGAATGGTTGCTTGGAGAAGCCTCATCACAAGTTTCTTTCACAACAGTTTCATCTGAATCGTACAAATGATCTGAAACATCTGGGCCAATATCATTCTGCCCTATAATAACATCCAGGTGTGGGGTGGGAGGTTCGTTTTCCATACCATCCTCATCAGTTTCATCACTATCTGGATAATCAACCAGTGAAAATCCTTGGACAGTAAATACCTAAAAATAAACAAAAATTCATTAAGTATGGAATTAGAAAGGTTGGCCAATAAAAAATTGTAATAAATTACAACCCAATAAAGGTCACCTGACTACTTTAAAGCCCCGTGAGCATTGGTCCATGGTCCAATTGACCATTACTGGGGTTTTCAGTGCATCAAATCAAAATATTTAACATCAAAATTCAAATCAAAAAGATGCTTTAAAACATCTAACAGCTCAGACACAGTATACAATTACGAATGTTAAAATCACAGTTGAGGTCATGTCAGGTGTTGCCACAGTGCATTAAAAACAATTACCGTAAGAACTGGACGGAAGGGCCCCACATGGGTCAGACTACAGACATACGAGTGTGTAAAGGAGCGACTTGAGAAACAAATGTATTTGGAAGATGGAAGGACCCCATAAGAACATGACTGGAAACATGCCGGTGTGTGTGACATTACCTGGCCTTTAACAGCCAATATAAAGCCACATAAGCATTGGTCCACTTTAGTAATAGAACACCACCACATACATGTCAGCATAGATGAATGTGTTTGAATGTACTTTTACCTGTGTGCAGGTCTGATCTGGGTTAGGTCTATCGTTAAGCATCTGAGGAACAGGGCTGGTCTCATTCTCTTCTGCTGCAGCAGGAGTCTGAAGGCCTTTCACCTGAAATAGACAGACAAGAAGAGACTCAGAACTGTATGAAGAGACATTCACAGGCTAATAAGGTCATCTAATGGTGAAACAGCACTGAACTTTAACTGAGAGCATGGACTAAAAAGCAGCTCACGTCTATTCCAAGAGTTTGCAGTGGATCAAATCAAAATATTGCTTTAAAACATCTAACAGCTCAGACACAGTATACAATTACGAATGTTAAAATCACAGTTGAGGTCATGTCAGGTGTTGCCACAGTGCATTAAAAACAATTACCGTAAGAACTGGACGGAAGGGCCCCACATGGGTCAGACTACAGACATACGAGTGTGTAAAGGAGCGACTTGAGAAACAAATGTATTTGGAAGATGGAAGGACCCCATAAGAACATGACTGGAAACATGCCGGTGTGTGTGACATTACCTGGCCTTTAACAGCCAATATAAAGCCACATAAGCATTGGTCCACTTTAGTAATAGAACACCACCACATACATGTCAGCATAGATGAATGTGTTTGAATGTACTTTTACCTGTGTGCAGGTCTGATCTGGGTTAGGTCTATCGTTAAGCATCTGAGGAACAGGGCTGGTCTCATTCTCTTCTGCTGCAGCAGGAGTCTGAAGGCCTTTCACCTGAAATAGACAGACAAGAAGAGACTCAGAACTGTATGAAGAGACATTCACAGGCTAATAAGGTCATCTAATGGTGAAACAGCACTGAACTTTAACTGAGAGCATGGACTAAAAAGCAGCTCACGTCTATTCCAAGAGTTTGCAGTGGATCAAATCAAAATATTGCTTTAAAACATCTAACAGCTCAGACACAGTATACAATTACGAATGTTAAAATCACAGTTGAGGTCATGTCAGGTGTTGCCACAGTGCATTAAAAACAATTACCGTAAGAACTGGACGGAAGGGCCCCACATGGGTCAGACTACAGACATACGAGTGTGTAAAGGAGCGACTTGAGAAACAAATGTATTTGGAAGATGGAAGGACCCCATAAGAACATGACTGGAAACATGCCGGTGTGTGTGACATTACCTGGCCTTTAACAGCCAATATAAAGCCACATAAGCATTGGTCCACTTTAGTAATAGAACACCACCACATACATGTCAGCATAGATGAATGTGTTTGAATGTACTTTTACCTGTGTGCAGGTCTGATCTGGGTTAGGTCTATCGTTAAGCATCTGAGGAACAGGGCTGGTCTCATTCTCTTCTGCTGCAGCAGGAGTCTGAAGGCCTTTCACCTGAAATAGACAGACAAGAAGAGACTCAGAACTGTATGAAGAGACATTCACAGGCTAATAAGGTCATCTAATGGTGAAACAGCACTGAACTTTAACTGAGAGCATGGACTAAAAAGCAGCTCACGTCTATTCCAAGAGTTTGCAGTGGATCAAATCAAAATATTGCTTTAAAACATCTAACAGCTCAGACACAGTATACAATTACGAATGTTAAAATCACAGTTGAGGTCATGTCAGGTGTTGCCACAGTGCATTAAAAACAATTACCGTAAGAACTGGACGGAAGGGCCCCACATGGGTCAGACTACAGACATACGAGTGTGTAAAGGAGCGACTTGAGAAACAAATGTATTTGGAAGATGGAAGGACCCCATAAGAACATGACTGGAAACATGCCGGTGTGTGTGACATTACCTGGCCTTTAACAGCCAATATAAAGCCACATAAGCATTGGTCCACTTTAGTAATAGAACACCACCACATACATGTCAGCATAGATGAATGTGTTTGAATGTACTTTTACCTGTGTGCAGGTCTGATCTGGGTTAGGTCTATCGTTAAGCATCTGAGGAACAGGGCTGGTCTCATTCTCTTCTGCTGCAGCAGGAGTCTGAAGGCCTTTCACCTGAAATAGACAGACAAGAAGAGACTCAGAACTGTATGAAGAGACATTCACAGGCTAATAAGGTCATCTAATGGTGAAACAGCACTGAACTTTAACTGAGAGCATGGACTAAAAAGCAGCTCACGTCTATTCCAAGAGTTTGCAGTGGATCAAATCAAAATATTGCTTTAAAACATCTAACAGCTCAGACACAGTATACAATTACGAATGTTAAAATCACAGTTGAGGTCATGTCAGGTGTTGCCACAGTGCATTAAAAACAATTACCGTAAGAACTGGACGGAAGGGCCCCACATGATAGGGTTAGGATAGGGTCATGGATACATGTCAGCATAGATGAATGTGTTTGAATGTACTTTTACCTGTGTGCAGGTCTGATCTGGGTTAGGTCTATCATTCAGCATCTGAGGAACAGGGCTAGTCTCATTCTCTTCTGCTGCGGCTGGAGCTTGGGTTTTTTTCAACTGGATTGCAGATAAAGAAGAACTCATTTTAACACACATCACAGATCAAAGATTAAATGCATTTCCATAGACAGTCAAGAGTAATATTGGAAACATGGTTAATTTTGGAGAAATACAAAATTTTCTTTTGCAACAAAAAAATTTAAAAAAAGAAATCTCTATACTTAATCTAACCAACTCACCTTACAGCGCCAAGGCCATTTTGAATCACCATAGTTGTAATCAATTTCATCTCCTATTTCTATTTTCTTCAGAGAAAAAAGGCACAAATGTGGTTTGTTGTCAACTATGATTTTTTTCATAACGCAATTTGGATTTTGGTGGTTGTCATTGACCAATCTTCCGAGAGATAAATCTTCTTCAGATGCATCCAGGCTGAAAAGTATCAAAAAAATGGTAATAGTTTTACATCTTTTTAAAAGTTTTATTGAAAGAGTTATTTTCAAAAGAATTTAAGAGTATTTTTGCTTAACTCATTCATCAAGTATTAAACCTTTGTTTCAGGGTTAACTCGTAATTTCTCTAAATCAATACAAAACATCCATCTTTCAATGTTTACCATAAGTGATGATTCTGCCACTGAAAGTCAAAGAGAAATGTGCTTTCAATCTCTGAGTATTTTCTTGACTTGCATTCCTCCTGTGTGAGGAGTTTACCCCTGTACTCCAACACGAAGTCCCCGGGTTCAATGGGTTGTGTGGCAAACACTCCTCTTCCTACAATAATATATAATAATTAAACATTTCATTCTGGCTCAAAAACAGATACTACAGTATTTTCAAAGTGAGGTTGATGTTCTTGCGTCTAGTCAGTGTATTACCTGCAGACAATGCTCAGCACTCTCCCAGTTGTGATACACACTCTACAGGTAAAGTGCTTTTTTGATCAGACTTTGTGGACATAAAATGTTTTTGATGCAGACCCATCCACATCAATGCATCATTGAGGTCCTGTCTATGCTCTGTTTGGTTCCCTTAAAGGAGTCATGACCTGTAATTTTCACTTTTCCACGAGAATCAATAGCCGCGTTTCCACTGTCGGGCCAGTGCGAGCCAGGGCTTTAAACTGGGCCGAGCCGGGCTAATGGCCTCGGGCCAGGAGCACCGGGCTCAAAACCAGCTGTTGCGTTTCCACTGTCTGGCCAGAAGCTCCACAGCGCTTCACTAAAACACGCTAGGGGTGAACTAGCACAGCCCGGCTCTGGCCCGACAGTGGAAACACGGCTATTGTATGTTATGATTGCCTAACGATTATACACTGGCCGGGAAGCCGATATTTAAAAGTGAAGCGTTTGTTTACCCCTGGGTTCGTCAACCAGCCCACGTGCACGCGCACTCAAATACGAGATTTTAATTTCTGCCCCGACTTGACGTCAAGACGGGGCAGGAAATACCATATATGGACACCGCAGACCTATGCTGCAGGAAGCCCGCCCTGCCCCTCTCCCCCTCATATTCAGTCGCGAAAGATGCAGAAACGTAGTGCACACGTGAGTTGCTCTGTTGTTGACTGCCAGAATCAACATGTAACTTAAATGTGTTTTCTCTCCCAAGAACGGACCAAGCTGTCAGGGACCAGTGGATTAAATTCATTTTTAATGACGCGGTTCCTACAACCCTTCCCACTGGCTTAACGTTAGGTGTCTGTGCTAATCATTTTACACCGGAATCGTTCACAAATTTGAATGTCCAAAAAACCACAACGTGAAACAAGGCAAAAACACCACATGATAGCAAACGTTGATCTCAATAACAACTGTAAGCTGATAAAAAAAAGTAGACTACATCTCCGTTAATGTAATCTACATTAAATAAAAGGTATAATGAATGTCTCAGTCAAAATGATTGTTTTTACCATTCAGAGACATCTTGATGTAGACGTCCTTCCATCGACTCTACATCTTCCCTTTCCAGCTCAGATTCAGAGTCTGGCTCGTGCATGTACGGTTGAATTCCGTAGGTCGCGGCCAGGTCGGTTTCATTCACAACTTGCGCCATGATGTCATTTTGGAATGATATGCTGAAGTTACCTGCGGTGTCAACCCCCCTCCTTCCTGCCACCAATCAACGCGCCCCTTTGCATTATTAAAATGACCATCCATGACAGCCAAAATATCACATCAGATCTCGCGAGACAATAATGCCTTCAGAAATAAGGGTCAGAGGAGCTCTCCACTTTTCTTTTTTAGAAGGGCCTGAAAGGCTATAATAGAGCGTGGGTATCCAAGGTAATACTAAGTTATGACTCCTTTAAACTGAGAGTGCCGTGTACCATTTAGTGCAGGTAACACCAGTGAAGCGTAAGAACATCATGCAACTCAGACTTTTGACATAGACAGACAGATGTACTATACTGATCCAAAACTGGAAAAATACATTGTAGCTGCAGCAAGGCATGAAACTAAATATTAAATAGCAATATAAAAAACGGAAAGTATTCCTGATTTACAAAATAAATATAGGACACAGAAAAGCAATATAACAAACGTATATACAACAAATAGAGAGACTAGTTAAATAATGTATTGTGCAAATGAGCTTTAAAGACCCACTCCGATGATAATCATGTTTTTCGTGTTGTTAACATGTTCTTGTGGCATTTTTCTAAAGCTAGAGGACATATCTTTAGAAAATTAAGCTCAAAATTGCATTTTTGAGTATTTCTGCATTCAAATGGCTGTGAACCAATGGCAGTCACTAAAAGGCAGCCTAAAACAGACTGGAGTTGTGATGTAATAACTCTGGGGGGGCCACAAGCTCCTGCCCCACTCCGCTCAGGTTCTGAGGAGTAGAGAAGACAATGGCGGATCAACACCTGTGTGCTGTAGTGGGTTGCAGTGCAAAGAAGAGAGATATTGGTATTAGCTTTCATAATTTACCGCAGCGCTGGCTCCGCCCACAACGCAGAGGCTAATTGCTAATGAGCACAGCTGGGACACTCAAGCAGAAGATTACTAACTTTGTCAGGCGGGGAAATTATATTGCCAGATGCCTAGCATGCAACTTAGCCAAGTCTACCCAACGAACTAGCCATGACTGGTGGGGAGGATGAAGCTGCTGCCGGGAGCTTTGAATCTCAGGTGGCTATATGCATCGTTGTTGTACGGGGCTGTACATTGCTCCATTTACACTTGGTCACATAAATGTGTCGGATATAAATCCGATTTTCAACTCCTGCACTATATACTGATTTAATGGAGTTAAGATATGTGCTGCATTTTATTGATCGTCAGCTAAAATGTCAACATCAAAGAGAGAGTGGCAACAGCGCTGGTAAGATCATCTCGTTTCTTTACTTTTAATGAAGATGATTGTGTGTTAAGCATCTGCGACTTACTTTCACTTTGATTTGCGATAGTTTGCAAGTTGGCTTGATGAATAGATGCTCAGCTGCGCCGTGTTGCAGTAGCGTCGTCATATCTAGCTATAACATGACGTATAGCCTATAATAACACGTTCTCACACGTTTATTTTGTGCATTTTTGGGAGGAGTAACATTTACATATGTGGTTTCAACAACCAGATGCACATACACTTGTCCGATCACAGAAAACATATGAAGTGAAGTGTAAACAGCCCCCGAGTGGTGGTATGCCAGCGAGCTTTGCTTGGCATAATTTAAAATGGTTGGTCGCAGAGTAAACGGTCACGACAATACTCTTCTTCTGTTGTTTGTTTACACTATGCACAAAACACAGGTAGCCTAGATCGCGCAGTAGGGTGTTTCATTCATGTTAGCTGACGACACCTTGTGTCCCCGACAGGAAAATACCCAGCTGCGTGTTCTGTGAATGTAGGCGCGGTGTCAATTTAGAACACATAGGAATTGCGCCAAAATATAACGATATTCGAAAATGCTTTTTTATGATCGAATTTCGCACGCAGTTCCGACTATTCGAAGATCGCGACTCATCCCTAACATCAACAATAATACTTTTTTGCTTTTGAAATGCACAAGTTGTGTCAAGGAATCTTCTGCAACTTACCTTTGTAACGGTCAATGAATCTCGGCATAAACCCATCCTTGTCAGTGCAAGACAGAATGTATGTCTTTGCATCGTCTATAGGCTTTTTCCTCCTCCTCCTTGTGGACATAATGGTTCTGTGAAAATAATTGTAATTCGTACTTAGTCAAGGCAAATCTCACAAAAAGGTTTTTGAAAAATAGCAAGTCACAAAAAAAATCTATTATGTAAAATAAATAAATAAACAGACATTCATACAAACACATAGACGCTGCAACAACTGTGTACTGAGCTTTGCTATTGCAAGATGCACATTGTTTAACATCAAACACGGGCTAATGAAATATGCAAATTCTGAAATGAGCACACTGAAAGCTGACCGAGCCTGTTGAAGTTAACTTGTTAGATGATAACCATGTTGTGCTGCACAGACACTCCGTAATCAATTTAAACTAGGGATGTCAAACTTAACTTCTGGTACAGCAGCATGGCGGCGTTGCCACATGACCATTGACTGACATATGCAGCATCACATCCTTCCTCATACATAAGCGCATGGATGGTTATGGGGGGGTCCAGGGTAGGCCGGTACCACCAGGATGGTGAAAACTTCCCTTAGAAGTATTGAGTCTAAACAAGCAAAGGTTTCACATCTTGCTACATTTGTTGATCAGTTGATCAGTCACAGTGATGCTCTGAAATTTAAGAATGTGTTTTTATTTGTTAAAAATGTGGGTCAATGACGTGACGCCTAAATTTTCTGTTCGACTGCATTTTTTCAGGCAAAAATGGGTTTAAATGCCTAAAAGGATACTGCATATTTGTAGTACCTCTCCCGTGTATGTACAACTTTTCAAAAACCTTTGTTTATTTTTTTTTTTGTTATTTAAAGTGTCAAAACATCATGTGGTGCGTAGGTTCGGCCATAACTTCTGTTTTGAAAACATCTTTGATATTGATTATTATTGAGTGACTCCAACACGGCACCGTAGCTTCAGTCCTGCGTTAGCTTCTGGCTAACCTCCATCAGCGAGTCCTGCCCGGTCTTGCTCACAATTCACAACCGATTCCACCTTTAACGACAGGACTTCACTGCACCCTGTCTCTGCCCCGCTGTCATGTCCGTGGTGACGTTATTAGGTTAAGCCAACTGCTAATAGTAATATTATGTCGCTAACGTTAGCTACATGGCAGCTAAACGAGGTAGCAAACATCACGATATAACGCCAAAATATGAACTCACCATAAAAACCTCACAATTCACAACCGATTCCACCTTTAACGACAGGACTTCACTGCACCCTGTCTCTGCCCCGCTGTCATGTCCGTGGTGACGTTATTAGGTTAAGCCAACTGCTAATAGTAATATTATGTCGCTAACGTTAGCTACATTGCAGCTAAACGAGGTAGCAAACATCACGATATAACGCCAAAATAAACTCACCATAAAAACCATGCCTAGCTTACCTGTTGCATGAAGAGGTCGGTATTTGTAAAAATATTCAGATGTCCAACCACTCCGTCTTCTTCTGTCTTCAATCTTCTATCCTTGAAGTCTTCTTCTTCTTGTGCAATTTCCGCAGTTTTCCTTACATTCGCGGCTGATTGTACAGTGCAGTAATTTCATTGGCCAAAGGTTTCAGATTCCCGCGGTGTGTATTCGATTTCGCGGGAAGTGTATATCCTGACTTCCGGTACAAAAAGGCTGGACGATACACACCTTCACACACATACCCACTTTTTGCTACCTTACGGGCCACTTTTTAGAAATGAAAAAAAAAGCAATGGTAGCATCAGGGGAAGCTGCTGAGCTCATTTTAATTGAAATCGGAGTGGGGCCCACCATTTTGGGCCCCACTCCGATTTTGGAACTCCTTAGGTGGATGTGCTCCCACCGATGGGAACCCACACCGACGCAAATGTTAGTACACACACACACACACACACACACACACACACACACACACACACACACACACACACTCACTCACATAAATGCTCATCCACATTGGATCTTTATTGTTTTATCTGAAGGATGGTTTGGGCTTGATAGAGTGGTTGCAGCTAAAGGGGGGCTTGCCATCAGGGCTTTTAAAGGTGAGGGGTGAATGGATCACTATTCATGCAGTGCACTCATGGCCTGAGCATCCATAGATGGCCCCTAAAGGGTACAGAGTGTTATGACTAAATTATGAGACTTATATTACTCATTCCATACCACATGTTCAGTTTGGATGGACATAAACAGTATTAAACTGATTACGGGAGATAGCGGTGACAAGGATCTCTCAGGTCTGATGCGAAGATGCATGGCAGCCTCCTTGCGGTAATACACTCTGACATGCAATATTTCTCCAGCAAATATGCAGTGCTAACAAAAATGATAGTTTTGTGCACTTAAGCAAATTATGTGTTGATTACATCTTCCTGATATTGCTGAAATGAAATTCATTTTATCACTGGTTAACAGGGTATTACACCTAATAAGAAATCCTTCCGGGATTAAAAAAAAAAAAAAGCATTTAGTTGTGTGTCAATAACAGGAAATGATGACATATGGGTAAACATTTTGCCAGCATTGCAGCTTTTCTCTGTGGCAAATAAAATGAATACCAAAAAACAATTAATTTCATCTGAAGGGAGGTCAATTTGTTTTAACCCTCGCTGAATGAAGTGGCAGAGAGAAGAGGCAAAAGGGATGCCGGAGGTTAATACCTTGTCTTGAAAGCCAACATGGATCATTATTTCACAGCCTTCTATTACCTGGTTACACATGTATGCTTTTATGTCAGCACATTATTAAAAGTGCCTGCTTTGCTGGCCTGATGCTTACCTCACCACGGGGCCATCTAGGAAAGATCGCACTTAGGGAAAAAAAGTTATTGGAAAAGCTTGCATTCTTTCTCTGCGGATTGTGTAACCTCTCAAAGGGCCATGATGAATGCAATGTGCTTACATTTGGGATTTGAATCTGGTTCTGAATCTGCAGAAAATATACAATTTACTTGTGCGTTTTTAATTTCAAGGTATAATTGAACATCTTGCCACTCATCAGACATCAACCCATTTTTTTGTAAAGCCAATAGAAAATCATTTGACATGCAAAATTAGATATGACATGTCACAAAATCAATTCCATTCATGAAGTGGAGCTACTCAGTCTGTTGCTTTTACTTTCATTCTCAGGGTGCTCATTAAAACAGAGAGAGGAGAGAGAAAGTCTCATGGGGGCAACAAAAATACCATAGCTGGTTCCTTTTTAAATCATTTGTTTGTTATTATTTAATATCTCCTGAAATCCAACAGCACATTTGGGTGATGAAACTTCTGACCTTCACTTTACAGTTGACTCTCCTCACTGTAGAGCTCATTAGTGAGCCATCTAATCTCATTAGACAATGCTGGGTTAAGGTGGCACCGCGACAAATAGCCAGCCTCTCTCTCTCTCTCTTTGCTTTGGACCAGGAGCAGAAACAGGTGTGGGAGCGGGCATGTGAGTCTGGGACAGGAGGAGTCCTTGCTAACCCTTCTCCTCTAATTGCTGTGAATGCCAGTATGCTTGCTATCTGCTGCCTTTCATAACAGTTGGTGTTTGGCAAGAGGCTTTTATGTTTGTTTTAGCTGATGATTTGCTGCTTATTGTGTCTCTGTCAAAGGAATACTTTTGCATCTTTAGTTAAACTGAAATGTGTCCGTCCCCCGTGGATGTAGATGCCAACTGCTCCAAGATGTGTTACAGTGAAACAGCCACTTTTGAAACTTCTAGCTACAATCTGATGTTGATTTATTTTTTCTGCAACTATTTACGTGAAACTTCTGCACACAGAGAAAGAGACGGAGGCACTGCAGCGCAGCTGTGGGGATTAAACAATGTATGAGAAGCTCTACCGGTTTCACCAACTCCTTAGGCTTTAAGCATATAGGACTAGTTATTTCCATGCTGACAACCAATATAATCATATTTTGGCTTGCTGTAACACCTTAAAGTCTTAAATCATTCATATCATTTCCTGTTATATTATACTTGAGCTTTGTTCTGAAGTCTAATCTGTATAACAATAAACTGGTTTTCTGATACACCTCATTGATATTTTTCACTCTCGACATCAGACAACCCCAGCTCCAAACTTTCACTCCTCTGTCTGCACATTTTCTCTGCAAGGCTCATATTCCAGATCATGTGGAGCCGTATTTATTGTCGCAGCTTATTTAAATAATCACCGGCATGTCAACGTACATTATGGCCCTCTGTCAAGGTAATAACACATTGTCATTGCTGTTGGGAGGCAAATATTAAACCATAGATCAATGTTTAACAATGATAATGGACTGGATCTGCATGTTCCCGTTTCCATTTCAGTTGGCCTTTGGCTATATTAGAATAATTTAATGCTCCAAATAATGTGAAAAAGGGCTGTTGTTATTATTGCTTTTTGATAAATAGTTAAGGGAATCTGTGTTACATGTATCACTGAATATGAGGTTGTTTGCATGTGACAGCCTCTCTCAGACTAAGATGTTAGTGTGACATTGCCTTTGTAGAAACAGAAACAAGGAAGGAAGCATATATAATACAGTGGTTTCATCAGAACGCTGCCTCAAACAGTGAAGCTATGAGAGCAGAGTGAACCAAAACAGTAAAGATGTTGCCAGGGACGTCATTAGGATTGAAAGATCTAATCTTACTTTATTAGAACTACACTTATATTAACAACCAGTGAAGAAGCCAAGATGTTAACATGTAAAAAGCGACAGACATGTTCTCTTCTTCCATTTCTCCTCTGTTGAACAAAAGTAAATGTAATGTTAGCTGGTAGAGACATCAAAGCTGCATGGGGAGAATTTACTTAGGCCAGACTGTGCTCCTGCTGAGTTCTTCTGTAGGATATGACCTAAATGCTATCCAGCTGCTCATGTAAATGTGTGATAAAGTAATACCATATCTAATTCCTCTCTCTATTTGATAAGTAGCTGGTCCTAAAATGCTATTTCATTGCACTAATTACTGTTTCTGCCCTGTAGATTGGTTCAGTCAGAGAGATTTTGCTCTTTAGTTTTGCTTGCATACTGGCATGCAATAAATACTTAAGTTAAATCTAATAATTATTTTTCTTCTTATTATTTGGGGGTGAGGGGGTGGGGGTGGGGGGTGGACTCAGGACCATTTTAGGGTAGCTTCATCCCCCCCTACAATAGGCCTAATGACGTCCTTGTCTGAAACTGTGAAAGACCCATATTAAACAAGTTTTTGTGTTGATGGAATATTGCTCCTTTAAGTAAGCCAATTATGAGTGATAAGGAATAAAACCTATGTCAAGATACAATTAAGGGTAGTATCAAAAGCGGGTCCTTTCTTTCTTTGTCACCTATTTGGTGTGTCATTTATCAAAAAATGTTTACATAAAAATGTATCACCTGACATTTTGTAGATACATAAATAAATACATGTTACTAAAATATACTATACTTTTGCTGACTGGGATAGGTTTAGAACAGTGGGTCTTCTAATCCCATATGGGCTGGACCAAACAAATTTTAGTAGAGACACTCATTCCAGGTAAATGCACATACACACACACGCTACACTTCCTTCCCATGGCTAGGTCGTGATTCTGCTCAGGGTTCAATGAACCATCAGTTGGAAAAATCTCCCCGGCTGATCCTGAGTCAGTAAGTGTTGGGTGGCAGGCCTGCAGTGTTCGCCCCTAGGATTCCTTCTTAGATCAGCTGTTGCTAGCTGAGCCAGCAGCTAACAGAGCCCTGGGGAGCTCCAGGTGGGTCTGATTAGCTCTCCACGGAAGAGAAGGGTCAAGGGAAGGCAGTTCGGGTTACCTTTGCAGAGGAGGGAAGCAAAAGGAGAGGGAAAAGTTGGAAAGCAGTGTGCGTCAGACAGGCAAATGAGTGGTTGCGGGGCAGTGAGTGGAGAATTAGACACATGTCAGCCCAAGGTCTCAATTTTCCCGCAATCAGCATGACACCTGGCCTTGTCTTAATTGGTCAGGATACCTCACCTAATCCATCGCCTGTCCTCCTCGGTGTCTGGAGCCCTCTAAGCTCCATTCAGCAGTGAGGCGAATGGACAAAAGCCAGGGATGAAAAAGAGGCCTCCCTTTGAGGCCTAATCCAATTAGATAACTGTTAGAAAACCGTGAGTAGAGTTTCACGTCCCTTAAAAGTAGACACGAACTCTTGCAACCTCTGTGACCTTGGAGAATGCCATCTTGTTAAGAGTCGCAGCAGGGACCCCTATCCCCCTCTCTTGATCTCTTTGACCAGAGGGTGTTTGTGTGTGTGTGTGTGTGTGAGTGTGTGTGTGTGTGTGTGTGTGTGTGTTTGAGAAAGAGACCGGGAGAGGGATAAACGGTCCTGACTCATATAGCAGCTAGTCTAAACCTCATCCAAGTCTAAAATAGATCAGTATCTGAAGGGCCTCTCTTGATAGTTGTGCAATGGCGCTTGTGTTTGTTTTTTAGTTTAAACTTAATTAACTCTTTAATACTCTTATGTAAACACAACAAAACAAAATAAAACAAAACAACACAAGAGTCACTCCAGCATATAAAAGTACAGAAACTGCACTATAGGGACCCATCTGATTTATTCATATTTACAGAATCATGATTGCCTTAGGTTATATCTTTGCCAGTAAATACATGAATATGTATTGCTGCTTTTTGAGACATGCAATGACTTACATATTTCCCACACAGCTCCCATTTTTATTCATGCAAAAACGTTTCAGGCGCTGCATTAAAAAAATCCAGTTGTTGTTTTTGAAACACATCGAAGTATCGTAAACTTGTGATGTGTCCTGCCAAAGTGCCGTGGCCTCGGAGACTGCCCCTAAATGTTTCCTAAAGGGGGCCAACGGCTGGCCCTCGTAA